CAGGAATGTGACCCAGAGCAGGGCTGCAGCTGGAACAATGCGAGCATCCGAACCAGGGATGCTGTCCCACAAAACAGGAACCCCATCATGTGCACCAGGATTATGAGAGAGGACAGTTACCGTCCAGTGATCCTCCGGATGAGCAAGGAGTCGGGAATGCTGAACTCGATGACGGAGTCCAGCTTCTCTCTCCTCTTCTCCAGGAGCTCGTCCAGCTGCAACACAAAACACTTGTCTGCAGGGGCAGACGCAGCCAAGGGGCCCCGTCTCCGGTGCCCGGCCGGGCTCACCCACCATCTCCGCCTGCCTCACGGTGCGGGGGAAGCCGTCCAGCAGGAAGCCGTTCCTGCACGGAGGGGAGTCCAGGTTGTTCTCTATGAGCTCCACCACCATCTCGTCGCTCACCTGCGGAGCACAGGGACCTTTTTAGTCCCTCCCCGTCACACGAGGAGACCCGGGAACAACGTCCCGCGGCTCCGAGGATGGCAAAGCTGCATGGAACTGCGGGTGCAGGAGCCAGGCCCCGGGCTGCACCCGCTGCCCAAAGACATCGTGAGGGAAAGGAATGACCCAGGGACAGGCGAGTTGTTACTAAGTGGGACCTTAGGAAAGGATGTTATTCTAGGATGCTTTTTAGTCATTGGAGCCTTTTTAGAGCCCCTCCAAGCCTGGAGGCAGCAGGGAGAGCACAGGGGCTGCTGTAGCAGGACTAAGGGGGTGTGCTTGGATGTGCCATGGCGGGGAAACGCTCCCTGCGAAGTGGCATCAGCGCCAGGACGTGGCCAGCGACACTCGCACAGGTCAGTGACGGAGCTGCAGCGTTACCTTCACGAGGGCTGCCCTGTTTGCAAGGGGACGCTCAGCCTGAGGACAAGCCACCCACATGTCACCGTTAAACCAAGCCGTGCTAGCAGCAGCGCCGATATCAACATAACCTTTAATTCCTGGTACTTTGCACCCTCCACGCACAACCTCCTTGGGTAGGCGGGATCGGACCCGCGCGAGGGGCCGTCTGGGGGAAGCAGCAGGTTGTTTCTGTGCTTTCCCGATCACTGCAGCCCTCCGTTTTGCAGGATACTGTCCTGCTTGGCAGCGGAGCACCAATATCCGCGCTGGGCTCCCAGCACTGCCGGGCTCCCTCCGGTTATCTCACAACCGGAGCGCTCCGGGAGGCCACACGCGGAGCTGCTGCTGTCCCGTTCCCCGCGCAGCAGTTACCTCCAGACCTTCCAGATAACGGCCCTATCTTTCCCAACCAGGCGGGCTGTGGCAGGCTCTGTTGCAACACGGAGATAAGCCACGTCACTGCTCTACCCCAGAGCCTCCAACCCCTCTTTACCCAGCAGTTAGGAGACAGCAGCAGCCCGCAGGGATGTCCAAAACCTCCTTGTGCTGCAGTTTGGGGGCCGTTTGCCATCCTGTCTTGCCCAAGACATCTCAGACACTCCCAAGACCATCTTGAGTGTTTTCACGCTCCTGACTGCTCTGTCCGGGATCTCTTGCGTTACCCGTCCCCCGCTGTAACCGCCGCACTACCCCTCCCGGTCTCTGGTTTCACCGTGACAGGCCCAGGCACGCGGGGGCCGGGCTGCGGGCGAAACCGCCGCGCTGGTTTCCAGCCCAGAGAGCAGCCGTCACGCGAGGAGACCCGGGAACGTCGTCCCGCAGCTCCGAGCGTGGAAAAGCTCCATGGAGCTGCGGGTGCAGGAGCCACCCGCTGCCCAAAGTCATCGTGAGGGAAAGGAACGACCCAGGGACATGCGAGTTGCTACTAAGTGGGACTTTAGGAAAGGATGTTTTTCTAGGATGCTTTTCTGCAGGAGATACAGGAAGGGGACAAGCCCCCAGTGCTGCCCGCGCTGTCCTCGCTGCTCCCTAAGTGGCTGCTGTCACACTTGTCACTCAGGGGTGACCTCTGTCCTTTCAGGTGCTGCCAGGCCGCCCTCCCCACCGGCACGGCCCCGCGCTGCCCACCAGCTTCCCCGAATCCATGGTCTCCTTGAGGCGCTTGCCCAGCTCGGAGCCCGAGGCCACCATGGCCCGCAGCATGTCCCCGGTGGCCAGGTGACACACGCAGTAGGTCTCGGCCAGCTTGGGCGCCTGCGGGACAGAGCAAGGCAGGTGAGTGGGATGCGCCGCGCGGAGCCGCTCGCGGCCAGGATCAGGGGCTGGGATGCACCGGGGAGCAGGGCCCGGCCACCCCGGTGACAGGGACGGTGACAGGGTGGCCCCCCGCCACCCGCCCCGGG